TTGAATTGTGTTTTAATTGCTGTTTTAATCAAATCTATTACGAATGTGATAACTCAGTAAACTTGAGAGCAATGCGATAGGATCATTCATTATCAGTCAGTCCGTTACTGAATCTTTGAACTGGTGANGGTAATTTCACCCCCTATGAGAACCACTGTCTTAAAACTAAATTACATCGTATTGTCTTTGAATTGTGTTTTAACTGCTGTCTTAATCAAATCTGTTAAGAATGTGATAACTCAATACTCTTAAGAGCAATACGATAGGATCATTCATTATCAGTCAGTCCGTTACTGAATCTTTGAACTGGTGAACTAAAACCACAACATGAGGTTGGCTCAATAACCTTCAGTTTTCCCTCACAAATCCACAACTCTTCGAGTGTTGATGACACTTCAACGAGTGGTTTCAGACTGACGATGTCTTGAGCAAAAATGCGAAGAATTTTTAGCGATGTGAAATGCTTCATTCCAACCATTACTGGCATTCCACCGAAATACATCTCGAGCAGTTCGATTTGATTTGCGTTTGCCTTCAGCGTGCCAATATCGATCCCTGAACGATTGCTCAATGAAAGCTTACAACCAATCAACACTGTTCCATGCTTAAAATTATTCAAATTGCACATCCACAGAATGTTGTTTAAATTGATGGAATTAATTGGTAATATAAGCACAGCTCAGTGTCACATTCACAACATTCAGTCGATCCAATTATTATATTTTAATGGGCAATATTGATCTGCTTTTCTGTCAACTGATAACCATCCTTCAGTCATCTAATAATTCTGTTGAGAAATAGAAACACTAAGAATTGTTAAACACTGAATTCAGTCTGATAATAGAGGAATTATAGACTGACCATTAGCATTGCATAAGCATTCAAGGTATTTGTGATAGCGCGCTTTTAGCGAGTTTGCGGTAGTCGCTACTTGTGTTGTTGTGACAAGCATGGCTCATGCTTTTGTGCTGAGCACTCGTTGATCGTTGACGATGCGATGATCTGAATCGGTACTGAATAATGACCTTGATAAGTTTCGTTCATCAATTATATGAAAGCATTGTGAACTGAAAAAATGACAAGGAATATTATTTTTAAGAAGAATATAAGAAGATTGTAAGAGGAATTCGGTTTGACAGAGAGTCTTCTTGTTTCTTACTGTTTCATATTGCTTGAAACAATTGCAGTTCGATCCACAATGAGAGAGTAATGAATGAAAATAGAATAAATCTCTTTCGGGTATGTAGAAGATGTTGTGA